AAAAATTCATAGTATAGTAAGGCATAAAAAACATTAAAAAAAACGTCATAGTATAGTAAGGCATCAAAAATGGCATAGTATAGTAAGGCATAAAAACGTCAAAAAATTCATAGTATAGTAAGGCATAAAAAACATTAAAAAAAACGTCATAGTATAGTAAGGCATCAAAAATGGCATAGTATAGTAAGGCATAAAAACGTCAAAAAATTCATAGTATAGTAAGGCATAAAAAACATTAAAAAAAACGTCATAGTATAGTAAGGCATCAAAAATGGCATAGTATAGTAAGGCATAAAAACGTCAAAAAATTCATAGTATAGTAAGGCATAAAAAACATTAAAAAAAACGTCATAGTATAGTAAGGCATCAAAAATGGCATAGTATAGTAAGGCATAAAAACGTCAAAAAATTCATAGTATAGTAAGGCATAAAAAACATTAAAAAAAACGTCATAGTATAGTAAGGCATCAAAAATGGCATAGTATAGTAAGGCATAAAAACGTCAAAAAATTCATAGTATAGTAAGGCATAAAAAACATTAAAAAAAACGTCATAGTATAGTAAGGCATCAAAAATGGCATAGTATAGTAAGGCATAAAAACGTCAAAAAATTCATAGTATAGTAAGGCATAAAAAACATTAAAAAAAACGTCATAGTATAGTAAGGCATCAAAAATGGCATAGTATAGTAAGGCATAAAAACGTCAAAAAATTCATAGTATAGTAAGGCATAAAAAACATTAAAAAAAACGTCATAGTATAGTAAGGCATCAAAAATGGCATAGTATAGTAAGGCATAAAAACGTCAAAAAATTCATAGTATAGTAAGGCATAAAAAACATTAAAAAAAACGTCATAGTATAGTAAGGCATCAAAAATGGCATAGTATAGTAAGGCATAAAAACGTCAAAAAATTCATAGTATAGTAAGGCATAAAAAACATTAAAAAAAACGTCATAGTATAGTAAGGCATCAAAAATGGCATAGTATAGTAAGGCATAAAAACGTCAAAAAATTCATAGTATAGTAAGGCATAAAAAACATTAAAAAAAACGTCATAGTATAGTAAGGCATCAAAAATGGCATAGTATAGTAAGGCATAAAAACGTCAAAAAATTCATAGTATAGTAAGGCATAAAAAACATTAAAAAAAACGTCATAGTATAGTAAGGCATCAAAAATGGCATAGTATAGTAAGGCATAAAAACGTCAAAAAATTCATAGTATAGTAAGGCATAAAAAACATTAAAAAAAACGTCATAGTATAGTAAGGCATCAAAAATGGCATAGTATAGTAAGGCATAAAAACGTCAAAAAACGCCATAGTATAGTAAGGCATAAAAACGTGAAAAAACGTCATAGTATAGTAAGGCATAAAAATGTCATAGTATAGTAAGGCATAAAAAACGCCGTAGTATAATAAGGCATAAAAACGTCAAAAAATGTCATACTATAGTAAGGGATAAAAAATGCCATAGTATAATAAGGCATAAAAACGTCAAAAAACGCCATAGTATAGTAAGGCATAAAAACTTCAAAAAATTCATAGTATAGTAAGGCATAAACAACGTAAAAAACGCCATAGTACAGTAAAGCATAAAAAATGACATAGTATAGTAAGGCATAAAAAACGTCAAAAAACGTCATAGTATAGTAAGGCATAAAAAATGGCATAGTATAGTAAGGCATAAAAACGTCAAAAAACGCCATAGTATAGTAAGGCATAAAAACGTCAAAAAACGTCATAGTATAGTAAGGCATAAAAACATCAAAAAATGTCATAGTATAGTAAGGCATAAAAAACACCATAGTATAGTAAGGCATAAAAAACATCAAAAAACGTCATAGTATAGTAAGGCATAAAAACATCAAAAAATGTCCTACTATAGTAAGGCATAAAAAATGCCATAGTATAGTAAGGCAT